TTTGTATCACGCTGTCAAAAGAGGGAGAATATTGCATTGCGGTACTGTATCATTCTCATTTGTTTTTTTGTTGCCTGATTAAGAGGGGAAGCAAAGTGAAGCTTAGTCAGTGTTTTGTGTGAGAAACCCCTAAGAAAAAATCCTCCCTCTAATGTTTCAGTGAGATGTGATAGTCTCTATTTCTACGTATTCTGCACTCTGATAGACATTTGAAGTTGTTGCATTTGAGTTGTGGTGTGATTCATTCTTTGTTGTGGAAAGGGCTCAGGAATCCTATGGAAGTCAGAAACGTTGCTCTGCAAGAATAGCAGTCTTCTTCTAGACCAGGCCGTTCACAAATCTGTTGGACAGGAATAAACACTGCACTTAATAGCTACAGGTTTCCAATGACAAAGATACGGATTTTCCACAGTCTTGGCAGCCTGTTTGGGCGTAGCTATCTTTCTTCATTTTATTTACGCTTCTGAATGCTATCCTCTTAGCTTACAGAAGGAATGGCTGGGAAATTATATTGTTTCTTCTGCTTATAGGACAATGGGTGTTGTTCCAGAGCTGTAACATAGGATTTCCTCAGAAATGCTTGTTCTCATGTGCTATATTTCACTGTCAGAGGTTTTCTCTTCTACCTGAGTCCCACACCTCGTTCGGGTCCTCATTTCTATTAACAGATTGATCCTTATAGGGGATGAGATCTGAAGCCTGTCATGCCAGAATTCACGTTTCTCTGTTCCTTGAAGTCAGCTCTTATGAAAAAGCAAATGATGGTGGAACCTTCTTGACCTGTTTCCAGACCGTTTTGGACAACTAGAGCATGAAAACCAGTGAACTGGGGAGCCAGACCCCGGCTCCTGGCAGCTATGTCTGTACTTTTGGGACCTGGGAAGCCTTCCTAGTTTCCAGACCTGGGCACATGCCCTGAGCATATTCTCTTACCCCTTAGGGTAAAACCTGTCTGTGCACATTTCTCTCCACGTACATATACGTGCTCTGGTTTCTATGGAGAACATCTGGAAAATCTCTGACAGGAAACCTAGCATGTTCCCACAGTATACCTGATCTGGATCATCTCGGCCTGCCACAAAGTTTACTTAGGATGCACTCAGGCACATTTAAAATGACTCTTAATGACTCTTTTTTTGGGTTGTTTTATCTGAATTTTAAGTGAATGCACCTACCTCCTCCCTGGTACCAGCAACAAATATACAGATGCATAAAAAACTTCAGACCTTTTAAGGAGAAGGAGGTAATTATTTCTGAGAGGTTTTTGTATGGCTCTGACTTTTAGAGTATTTCCAGTTAATATATGTCAAGAGGACAGGATTTTTAAACAGCTAATGGAAAGCATTTCTTTGCCTGTAAGAAACATATGCACTGCTGGCAGTAATATAGCAGCAACTGTAGTCATCCTTGGCAGACTCAGAATTTCTTGTTGTGTAGAAATGTTTTCTCTTAAAAGAAATTTCCTCTTCTGTTTCCATCTTCTGTTGAATATGGATCTGAATTTGTAGGCTCCATGAAGGGCTCTCCTGCCTACAGATTTTAAATCTGCTGCCTGAGGAGCTGCCTCCAATTAATAAAACTAGTAGAACAAAATCAAAGAATTAATACTAATTTTCTCTTTTGGTGCTTGTTTATTTTTTGACGTTTAAATGAATAAATTGCCTTGGAGCTTTTCTCTGCATTCAGTACCGAGTGCTTACATATCAACAGCTGCACACAGAGTAACCTTTTAAAACAGGGTTTTATTCAATTAAGCCATACGCTAGCAACAAATCCTAAGCTGCCCAATTGTGAATTGTCACAGTTCTGCAGTGCACTTTCTCTTGCTGAAATCTTATTTGCTTGGTTTTCTGCCATAGGGCATATGTCTGGAACAAACCAAATTCTCAAACTTAATGAGAAAGAAACTAAAAGACTCTGAAAGCCCATTTTGTTTGCTAGTTTGAGCTAATCAGAGAAATAAGCAACACCAGGAGTTGTGCCAGACAGAGCTCCAACAGGGGACAGGTACAGAGGACCTTTAAAGCCTGCTGGGACGCAGGTGCTGGATCTGGCCCATCAGGGAGCAATGTCCTAACAGACAGTGTGAAAGACCAAAATGGGTAAAGCCTCTTTGGTGCTGCGATATTAGGTCTGTCTACCCATTTTTCTTCTCAGCTTTCTTTTCAAGGTATCAAGAAAGAGAAATAAAGAAAGCAGAATACAGAAAAGAAATAATATAGTACTTTATGAAGCCTCTTTTCTCTGTGTTAAGAATCCCTTTTTGTCTCATTTCTGAATTTAATTTTCCCTTTCTCTGTTGCTGATAAAAGCAGAAGGAATGGTAGTCTGCACGAAATATATATAGCTTCAGCACTGTGAATTGAGGTTTCCTCCAATGCCATTAACAAAGCAGCAACAGAAGTTGATTCCTACCATAGAGGCAGTGTTAGATTTGTGACAAGAAATAGAAATAAGGTGAAGATGTAATGCTGCTGCTGCTTTCTTGGGTACCGTGGAAAAATATCAGCTCACTTTACTGGGAAAAAGATCTCACTTTTCTTCCTGCAGTGCCAATTTTAAAGGTTTTGCTTCTTGTCTACATCCTACTGTGAAATCTTATCACCATTGCTTTCTCTCGGTGCCCCGTGCTGCATATAGGATATTGAGCTTCCCAGCTACCGCTCCTTCTAGACCAGGAAAATAAAACATATTTGCCTTCAGGTATTTGTTGTTTTTATTTAGCCCGATGGAAAGTGCAATGAAATCAGAAATGAATCATTCCTCCTCTGTTAGAATAAGTTATTTCCTTTCGTCTGAGAATGAGCTACATATGAAAAGCCTCTGTTGAACACATAATGGCATTCTGTTTAGTCAAAAAAAGATTAATGGCATTCAAACTAATTCAGCTGTTTGCCCCTAAGGATATTTGTGATCCTCTAGCTTTGAGAGGTTCTGAGAAAGAATCTAGTTAGTACTGCCACTGACTAATCAGAAATTTAGCTTGATATGTGTATTATTTTCCCAGTATACCTTGGACTGCATTCACAGAGCTGCCTGGAGTTTATGTTATATCGTTAGCAGTCTACTTCCAGGAAGACATCGTTGTGAAGCTACTAACTTTCATTGATTTCCTCAACATTTGAATAACCCATTCCTTCTTCTACCCTTGCTACATTAGCTCAGTTGTAGAAGTTATTTCATTACTTACAGTCTATTAAATGGTTTTACTGTTTATTTGTTCTTTCCTTGGTCTCTAGGTTGCTTAATGCAAGTCTGTTTAATGAGAAGTTCATTTGAAGTAACTTTTTTTCAAATTTGTATAATTTGGCATTACTTAGAACGAAGATGCTGATATCCTTCTAGCTAGTTTCCTAAGACAAAGAAGTTTAGTCAGGAGATTTTTGTGAAGTGTATCTTTTTTTTTTAGGACTTTACTGCATAAAACTTTAAAGACAGGGGAATAATAATGTAATTGTCAATGCTATGGTTTTAATTGTGACTAAGCAGAGATTTGCTCTTACTGCTTAGGGAATAATAAAGTAGCTTCTCCAGATCTAAGAGCAGGTTACTGAACTATCAAAGTTTCTAGAAAGAATAATCCTCTTTCTTTTTCTGTTTCTTCTCTACCCTTTTCATAAAGTAACTTTTGCTTCTGAAGATGTTTCCAATGGAAAATAGCAAATTGAGAGAAGTAAGCTTTTGTTTGAGATGCAAGTCGAAAAAAGTGACAGTGACTGCTTTTCAGTGGATGCAGATTTAGAACATGCTTTTGTCTTTCGCAGCAATGAGATAAAACTCAGCGTTGTTTTTCTTTTGTAAAACACCAATCAACAGGTATCGTTACTGCAGACAAACCAGACATTAATGATTGGAAGACCTCAGCTGCAGACCTAAGTAAAGCTTAACAGTTAAATAGAATAATTGCATTATGTTCTGTTGTGCTAAATACTGAAAGAGCAAAGCTGACTTTTCATCCGATCAGGCCATAGCGATGTGCAAAGCTCAAGGTATGAGTACTTGGGAGACTGCTCAGGAGACTGCTGGTACAAAGGTAGATCAAGGAGTTTGCATTCAATTAACTCAGCTAAAATTTACTCTAAATCTTAGCCAAAAATAGTTCTGGAAGGATTCTATTTAGTATTAGCAGGATCCTTAGTTCAAGACCTCAGTAGTAAAACAAGAGAGATGTAAACTGAGATTAGACATATCAATGACAAAATTCCTTCATGTTTTTAGAGGTTTTTCTCAGGGCTTTATCTGTTATCTTAGGTAATTTATCCAGGTCATGCTGTAGAAATACGAAGACATCTTGAACTTTATGAAGATTTATGGATTTGCTGTTCCATAGGTGCCACTAGAACCTTGCTTGTCCTCATGAGGTTTGCTGCCCACTTTTTAGATAAGTACTTGCTCTCAGAGGGCAGCAGGCTCCCCAGACTTCAGTGTCAGCACCTTCTGTAAAGCAGTGTGTTGTAGGAAGGGGTCAGCTCCTGATAAAGCTGGGTCATTTTTGACTGATCATTCATTTTCGCTAGGAGCAGACATGCTTCAACAGCTTGTTATTTACAATCCCAGTTTTAAAGAACATGCATTTCAAAACAGAAAAGGCTGTAGACCAAGAGCACAAGTTTAAGGAGTGAGAACAACAAGAAGGCGTTTGTAGCCCCTGACAATATCTGACAGAGTTAAATGTCATACAGGCTAGTGGGAAGACAGAAAGGAGGGTATTTCTTCACAAAACAGGTAGGAAACCTCTGCTTCAGGTGTGAAACAGGTAGGAAACAGGCAGGTTGCCTTTGCTGGGGAACGAGTGAGAAAATAGGTACCTGTGTGCAACTCTGTGGGAGTTCATAGTGTTCTTCGACCGCTGAAGGTGCTTCTCATTCCTTTGGAAAAAAAGTGTGTCCAGCAGATGCGAGGGGGTTTGCAGTGATCGGTTCATAGCATTTCTGTAAGCAAACACTGTTTGTTTGGGTTGTCTGCTCTGTCAACCTGTTGGAAATCTTGTATAATCCATTAGAGAACAAGCGAAAGAACAGGCACGAGACAAACATATTGCCATAAGCCATACATACATAAATCTGCAACCTTCGTAAGGTGAACAACAAGAAGAAAGAAATGAGGTTTAAACTAAGGGGAAATACCAGTGAATACCAAAAGAGTAAATAAAAGAAAAATCTCTGTCTCTGACTGTAAAATGTTGCTTCTTTCTAAGAAACTGATTTGTTTTGTATTATCCATCGTAGTCCCTCCTACTAAAAGAATATGAAAAATGTTAAATAGATATACCTAAAAACATGGACGGACAGGTGAATCTGGTGGAAGAAAAATTGTTAGAAAAAGGAAAATGGCCAGCTTGTGCTGAGCTTTGGTAATTCATCTCTCCAGATGTCATTTTGTCCTCTCAACTATCGTTTCATTCTTGCATGCTGTCGTTTTGTTGCTGTGATGGTACATTGCCACAAAGCAGCCAATGAAGTAGCTCATTTTGCTAATTCTGAATAATGTCTTGTGTATTCTAGAATCAATTGCATCAACGCTTCAAAATACATAGAGAGCTGTATCAGCTTAGATACTCTGTTGCTATTATTTCCCCATCTGGTCCATTATCTCTAAAAAAAGGTATGATCTTGTTGACTGTAACGTTTTATAAAAAATTGAAGTTAAAAGTTTTCAGTTAAAAGGTGGGGAGGAAAGTTGACAGGGTAGCATAATAGAGACTTCTCAAAAATATTTGAACTAGAAAAATTAATAGTTAGTCTCCTAATTTTTTTATTCCAGCACCACTGAACCAGCCATGTCAGGCCAGCATTAAAGTCATTCTTAGATACCAATGTAGCTATCTTAACAAATATTTCAGAAAGGGACTTTACACGTACTGGTGCTCCACAGTCCTGAAGAGGCTTCCACACACTCTTTGTGTGCAATGAATTATTTGATTTCACTGGGATTATTTTGGTACGTAACTTTAATCATGTGTGTACATGAAAGCAGTGGCTGGGTCTTGCTTTATGTAAAGCTGATGAACTATTAATGTTCTCTCTACTAGCGTCACTCAGGAGAAATGTGTGAAGAAGCTCCGTGCTACAGTCTCTTTTTTTGAAAAGTCATTGAGAAATCCACTTCCGAAAGGAGACAGTATCTGTATATTCGGGGTTCTTGAGGAAGAGACTGATAAAGGTCCTGTCATGTATTTTCATCACAGTTACAGGTATCAGCAGTGATTTGCATTTCAGATTGTTCTTCTATTCTGTTTCATGTCGACAGGAGACTGTCTCTTCTACTGCAGGCCCGGCACTCAGGGCACCCCCCTCACTGTGCAAATTCAACAGTCCGTCGCAGGGCTCTTTTCACAGGGATTCAGGATTCTCTCTTTGCCTCTTTAGCTCTCTTTTACTGAAGTATTATTTTGTTTATTACTTCAGCTGCACAGAACTCAGTGCCATGTTTTTGCTGGGACAAAACCCGCGGAATTGATTTTTGGGAGCATCATTCTTTGAAAGGCAAACTTGAGCCTTTCTGAGCGTTTCTAAATGTTTGCTTTAGCGCTCTCCGAAGGTTAGTCATCGTCAGGGTATTCCTAGCTGAACACTCAGAAAGTGAGAGGCACGTTAGTGTTAATTTTTAAAATGCAGGTCCATACCTATGTAACTCCTGGGGGAAAGATTGTTTCTGTTTTTCCATTGACTTCACCAGCTTTGCTGCCTTCAGGTTATTAAAAGATTTTTATTTTCAAGTGTGTTGGTCTCCCACAGAAAAGGCTTCAGGCTTGGCCTTATGAACATCTGATATATTGCTTTGATGATAGCCATGCTTTCAAACAGGAAGGGCAAACCTGTTACATTCTGTATCTGGCAATTTGCACACATTTTTTGGAGCATGCATGGACATGCCCATGCAATTAATAATTGCGTTAATAATATCCATCGATAATACTAACTACCTAGGCCATTTATTTCAGAGATTCTATCAAGTCACTTTTAAAAGGTGTTGTTCGCATTTTATATTGTCATTTTATTCTCCACTAGCGTGTCTCTGTTTGTATTGCTGTTCATCACATGCAAAATTAGGCTGTTTTTTTTCAGGAAGCTCTTGATAAATTGTGGTCCTACTTAGCTTCCAGTCAGCTGTTCAAGTACTGTCTGTAGGGTCTTCACAGTTGTCTGTTGTCCCACAGATGAGGTCGATGGCTTTTGGCCAGTTCAGATCCCCCCAGTATGAATGAAGGAATTGACTTGATTAGTCCTGCAACAGTTCCCTTGACTTTTCACATGCAAGAATTACGTTTGCCTAGTACCTCTTCCTGCTGCTGTACAAAACAAAGTAGCTTTCTTTACTTTAGTATTTTACACCTCCAGGGGTAAGTCTTTGGCAGGAAATTAGGATTCCCTCATACAGTAAACTAAAGCGCCTGAATCTAAAATGAAACAAAATGTTAAGGTATGTCTTCATGTCACAATGCGATGCCTTGCACAGCAGGCAATGTTAGCTCAGGCAGAGAGCTCTATTCCTGTTTTCGTACTGTTTCCAGCTCATTCAGAGCTAGATGAAGTATCTGCATGTTGTGCAGCAACCTTTTTTTAAGCCTTATTTTCTTATAAAAAGTGCCACTGGTAATGAAAAGTGGGGTATAGTGTTTGTGATAACTCCCTCATTTATCAAGAAAAATGATGAAGAGGAAAGATTATCAAGAAAATTGATGGGGAGGAGAAGAAAAGGGAAAGAAACAATATTTGAGAACCTAGAACTAAACTACATTCCTGTTTATGAACAGAGCCTATTATTTCCGTATTATGTTCCCAAAGTGCAAGTAAAAGAACTTGGAAACTGACTTGTATTATTATTTGTTGGAAACTGACTTGTATTATTATTTGTATTGCTTTTTTAAATCACATCAGTCATAGTCTGAAATGCTGTTGCGTCTACAGGAGACACAACAGGCCCGAAGCATCTCCTCTGTGAATCGGAAGGAGCTGATGAAGAGATGAAGTATGGGTAAGCCACATCTTGGAGCGGATCAGCTGGTGGTTGTACAAAGAGGTAGAGTTTACAAATACTTGCTGAGAAACTTCTGAAATAGCCTGGATAGTCAGATGAGCATGTGGAGGATTACGTAAACTTCTGAAATATTATCGATTCCCCAATTATTAAGTAATAAATGCTAATCATTAATAAGTAGTGCCTCCACCACTGCAGTGACAAGTTTATATAAATATTTTTGGATTAACTCCCTGATTATCAAATAATAAATACTAAGTATTAAGAAATAGTTCTTCCATAACTAAAGTGACAAGTTAATATAAATATTTTAGGTTAATTTTCAGAAGTTTAATAGAATAGAGAACTTGGGTCTAAAAAATGTATGTTCATAGATGTTCTGACCACTTGCCATTCAGTTGTAAGCACTAAACTGGGCTCTGGGAAATCTACAGTTTTCCAAAAACACAGATGTATTTTAAGGTTAGGTTTATCCCACTCCTAAGCAAGCTGTACAAGTCTGTCATTTCTTTCTGCCATCCATTTTTAAATTGTATTTTAGCTGCTAGTATAAGTGTCTGGCATCCAAGATTCTGGCTGGCATCTAGAGATGAGGGAATGCAGGTATTTAGGGAATGAAGCATTTCACACCCTTATCCCTATATTAATTGCATCAGAACCTTACGGCACTAGGGATACCATCCAGTCTTTTTCCATTTTACGTTACATCTTCTGTTTTCCTTAGTTTTCTATTATACACATGTCTGCAACTCTGAACCATATGGTTATGGAAACAGCAATGCTAAAGGAAAAGGAAAGTCATACTTCAATATGTCACTGCTAAGTTTCTGTTGTGATACAGAATCTCATAAAATTAGCTGGACATCCTTCCCAAGCCCTATGCAGTTTTGGAAGAAGTATAAAATAGTCATTACTTTCCATTTGATTTATCCTAGAGATATTTTACATTAGAAAACAGTATCTGTATGCACTCCTTCTGGCCCCATCAGTTAAATCTGTCCTTGGAAACCCAGGTTCAAGTTTGTGCTTTACCTGTTACGTGTAAGACCTGGGTCTCCTTCCCCACCAGTGCTCCTGGGGAAACGGAGGGGAATAAAATGAACCTCTTGGTATGACTGTGAGATTGTAATTGGGCTTGAAACCAGATGTCTGATTACTGGAAGACTTTGCCCAGGTTTGCCAAGGGTGTAGCTGCCCACAGTCTATTATTGCGGCAATTGTGTAACCAGCTGAAGGCTGGTCAAGGAGATTGACCTGCACTTTGCGGCAAATGCAAGATATACTATGGGATTGTACTGCTTGCTTTTTCCTGCTCCGTGTATCTCTGCATGGAGGAAAGCTCCATATTCTCTAGAGCCTGGTTTCTGCTCCGCTGTCGCAGTCACTCTTTTGATCACTCCTCTGTAGTCTTGACGCTGCTGCTACCCCTTCTACCCTGATTCCGCTCCTGCCTCGGCACCTCAGCCCCGGGCTCTGACCCTGCCTCCTGCCTGCATGGGACTTGCTGCTCATTCTGTTCCTGTTACCTGGCTTGCTAAAACCTGGTTCATGATCCTGCTGGATTCTGCTGGATCTAGCCCTGACGCCTGTCAAGATGTCTGTCTTTCAAAACATCTTTCTCTTGATCTCTGGTTAGCCATGTTCTTGTCTGAAGCTTCCCTTAGTGTTTTTCTGATCTCTGCTTGTCCTGATGAAAGAATCTGGTTCTTGTCTCCACCTGTGAGAACAGAGAAACCCCTTCATATGAACCTGTATTTCTCTCGGTATTTCACAGTAGAAAGTTATTTCAGTTTAGAATCCTTGACTGACTCCACCAGGAGCCCACAGCCTTGATGAGGCTGATATTTTAGCATGCAAATTGATCTCATCAGACCTGTAGTCAAGTGGTACCGATTAATTGTGAGAGGAGACCCAAAGTCCCCTCTCATCACGTTTCAGAGTGAAGTTATGTCGGACCACGATTAATTCTGTGCTGAAAGCAAGATGGGGCACTGACTATGGGTAACGTGGATTGTGTCTGTGGCTCATAAATGTCAGCTGCTATTAAAAGTATCTCTTTGAAGCTGCATATTTCCTTGAGTTTATTTTCATATTTGTTTTCATGAGGATGAAGTACCACAATAGCTTTCATAGAAAGAAAGAGTGGCCATAACAAACGATTTTTTTGGTCTACTCTCAATTTATGCTCCATTGACAGCTGAAGAATAAGCTGGTGAAGAAGTTTAGAGTTAAATAGCATTCCATTGTAACATCACAGTTTTTCATAACTTTGATTAGGTGGAAAACTACTGCTTATGAGATCCATCCTGTCAGCGCACAAGCTGGATTTGGAGTCTCATCACAAGAAATTCTCATATTGCATGAACAAGGTAACCTTAAATGAACCGATATTTGCAAAGTATTATGAAGGTCAGAGTCTGCTCTAGCTGGTAGTCCTTTTATCGACTATTTGATTATTCTTTTACTCTTGTTTACCGAGGCACCAAGTCAAAGCTGTATACCTCTGCCACAGTAGATGAAGCAGAGGAACATACTGTACTAATAAATAGTAATGTCTGAGTTGCAGACAATGCTGTAATGTTTCAGGAGAAAAAAAAAAGCTACAGACAAATCTTCTGTGTAGTTTCAGGTAGGAATTAATTGATACTTATATTTCTTCACTTTCAACAATCATCATATATAACTGTGTATCTAGTTGTTGGCTATAGAAAATATAGTAAAGATTAAGCTTTTTTCTGCAGTTCTGAAAGGAGCTAAGTTTCAAAAACAGACCTGTCAGTTTCCTAGACACAGATAAAAGGTATTTCAATAATGCATTGAATAACGTTTTTTATAACTGAGGCAGGTTTTGCAGAAGTTCTGCTGTTGTTAGCTTCTGGTGGTAACTGCAAGTTATAATGCTGGATATCAGTCAACTCTCTCGCTCTACTCTTTTTCTCTTCATCTCTTCATGTTCTTTGCTTTGTAGAATTAAGAGAGGCAGCAGTATGAGCAGCAGTAAATTATTTACAGGAGCCTTGTTTTGTCTGAGCAGTAGTCAGAACAAGGCGTAGTGCGGCAAGAGCTGAAGAGAGGTGTCTGAATAAGCTGCTATAACATCTCACCAAGCCCTGCTTGCTCTGACGCAGTTCGAGAGATACAAAAAATCATCATCCACTTCCCAGGCCTCAGGGTTTGGACTCAGGAACACATAATTGCATGTAAAATTGCTGTGTGACATCTGTTGCAAAGTAAATGTGCAGGTGTGTTCTCTAGCTTCTTGGCAACTTTTTTCATTAAGGGTAAGCTGTCTCATTGTACTTCATCTTTTTCATAAGAGAAACTGCTTTTTTAAGGGATACTTTCAGTCACAGGCAATTTGCCTGTATGTTGAAACTTTTTGTGTAACTTCTTAATGCTATTTCTGTCAATATCACAGTAAGAAACTGGGAATTATCCTTTATGAAAAAGCATATCCTCTGAATGAATTTGTTGCGTGATACAGATCGCAAGTGGATAGCAAATTCAGAATGTCTTTAGAGGCAGTAGGCAGCTCAAAAGGAAGACTGGCTGCCCCTTTTTAATTCATTCTTTGCCTCTATTTCACAAGCTTTCCCCTAAACTATTTCTTAATGACTTTTTTAAAGTCATAATGTATCCATGGAGTATCATGGTGTGTATTTTGTACTTCTCTCCTAGTTAAGATGCAATGCACTACTTCTGCACTCCTCAAGACTGTCATGAAAAGTTAATATTGAAACTCCTTTAGAGATAGACTATAAATGTGAGTGTAGAGTTGGAATTGCAAATCAGTTATCATTGGATTTCTAAACTGATTTAGAAATCAGTTACAGAAAAACACCCTGAAACTAGAGGTAAACGACTCAAAAAAGCTAGTAAAAGCTGTACTATAAAGTCAGACTGTAGAATTCAGAAATAGTTTTATATAATAAGAAACTAAATTGTGGCTTTAGCATAAGTATATCCATTTTGCCTCAGCATATCACATTCATGTCTAGTTTTTCCCATCTCCTCCAAAGCAATGCATAGATAAGCCATGCGCAGTTTGCACACTTAACAAATCTGGCAAACAAAACTTTCATCTCATTTGACCAGGCACAAACGTAGATATCAGAATTTAAGCTCTCATTTGTGCTACTCCAAAACCATGAAATTGTACATCAGATCTATTGTTGTGTATCTAATCATGTTTTAATTAACTCCTGGGAGCCTAGAATACATCAAATAAAAGAACACATGGAATGAAATATAAATTATACAAATAAAAATGCAACACTTAAGATGCTGGAAGATTTTTCCACCAAAGTCTAGGGAATCGCTCCTTCCATCCCAACTATTGTGCAAATGTATTTTGTACTTACGTTTTGAACACAAAATCCAGAAAGGAGAACTCTATTACTGTTTTCTATGGAAGTGAAGGAAATCTACATTGCCGCTCTTGATTTGATTTAGGCATCTTTGAAACATTACTGATAAGTAGTTTTGATGGAACAATCCACTGTTGAGATGAGAGACCCTGATAAGAAAGGAAGTTAACAAGACATTCCAGTACATTAAAACCAGCCTTTGAAATGTAATACGTAACCCCAAGGCAAAGCTGTTCTATTTTCCTGTCTGAATCTCCCACTTGATAATTTCACAAAACTTACGAATGCTGAGAAGAGTTTGCAGTCCGACATCGCATCTCACTGTGTTTGTGTGTGCCCATTTGAGGTGGCACTTCATTGTCCCTTCCTCCTTCCAAACATTATTGGGGCTCCATTGCCAGAGTCCTTGTTCCCCACTCCTCTGCTGGGAAGCTCATCTCCAAAAAGTGCAGCTTTTAACAGCTAGGAAATGCCCTAAACTGGGTGGCAGAGAAAGCCATCTTAGGTAATTCTCGCTATTGCAAAATCATCTTATGTAGATGTTTCCCGGAAGGGGAACTGAGAGGGAGAAATTGCAGTGGTTTGAAGAGTGCTCTGTGGAAAACTCAGCTGCTCGTGGTCCAAATGCAATCTATTTTTTCTTTTCACTAGGATTGTTTTAATTCTTGTGCTGTTGTGGAGATCTGCAAGTAGAAACAAAAATTTGTAGTGTGATTCCCAAAAGCTAAATTTTTACTGCTTCCCAAATTCTTTCACAGTCTATTTTTGTCTTTGCCTGGCTTGCCACTTCCGTCATTTTACCTAGCGAAAAGGAAAATTCAATAATGAAAATTTGGTTCTACTGTAGCTGCTGATATTCAAGGGCCAGCCTTTTAGAAAAGGCTGGTTGTCTGTCACTCCTGCACATTTTTACCTCTCTCTCACTGTTACACTTGCAAGAATGGCACAGCTAACAGATTTCTGCTATGGTGCCAGTGTTTAAATAAGCAATATTTTCCAACATATGACTCAGCTAATTTATGTATTTGAGTCTGTTTTGATTCCATATGTTGCAGCAAATGGACATGTGCAGTATAAAGAAAGATGTGCTACATTCTGTTATTTCGCTAGAACGTGTACATTTCTCTGCTTGAGGTCACTTAGAGTTTTACCATTGATTTGAGTGAGAGTAACATTAGGACTTCTACATTATAATGCTGCATTTACAAGGCCAAAGAAACAGCAGTTCAGAGGCAAGAAACAAATCAGAGCAGAGAGCTAGTTCTGCCTCATCTCTAATACATTACTTCTAGACAGTTTTAAAATGTAATCATACAATATCTCCTCCATCCTATCTCCTGCACCCAAAAGAAAGCTCTTAATATCTCTGGGGTTTGCACAGAAGCATTTCCAAACTTTTATCTTTTTGCTCCAGCTCTTCACCTATTCAAACTTATGTTTGGAATACGATGCAAATTTTAAAGGGATAAAATTTCTCAGAACGAAAAGCACAAGAGCACTCTGCTGAGCAGGGGATTCCAAATTATCTTGGCTGTTTCATTTTTCTTCCAAAATTTTTCTTTCTTCATGTCCTACTTCTCGGTCTTTTTCATTACTGTAGTCAAAATGGGGCCTTTCCAGTTCCTGTGTGTACAGGATCTCGCCAAAAGTGTGAGTTGCTAAATATTTGATAAAATGAGAAATCCAACTACTGCAATGAAGATACGCTCTAAATGTCAGTGATTGCAGGGCATTAAGCTTTCTTCATCCACCTCACCAGCCTTCGCATGTTTATTTCACTTTTATCTGTAATTCTTTCTTAAACATGCCTTGTAAAAGTTTGGGGAGGAAATGATGAGTTTTGACTTCACATTTAGAGAATACTGGAAACTTTTTCTTTTTTTGGGGGTCTGTATCACTGGAGATTCACGAGCCTGCTTGTTTCACTTTTCCTACACATCAGTATTTTAGGCACAGTGTAAAATCTAGACTGGACCACAGACTGATGACATCACGCATTGCAAGGAAATGAAACAAGTCTTGTTCAATATATTCATCGATGACCTGGATGAAGGGACAGAGTGCACCCTCAGCAAGTTTGCTGATGATACTAAACTGGGAGGAGTGCCTGACGCACCAGAAGGCTGTGCTGCCATTCAGAGGGACCTGGACAGGCTGGAGAGCTGGGCGGAGAGGAACCTCCTGAAGTTCAACAAAGGCAAGTGCAGGGTCCTGCAGCTAGGGAGGAATAGCCCCAGGCACCAGGACAGGCTGGGGGTTGACCTGCTGGAAAGCAGCTCTGCAGAGAAGGACCTGGGAATCCTGGTGGACAACAAGTTAAGCATGAGCCAGCAGTGTGCCCCTGTGGCCAAGAAGGCCAATGGGATCCTGGGCTGCATTAGGCAGAGTGTTGCCAGCAGGTGGAGGGAGGTGATCCTGCCCCTCTCCTCAGCCCTGGGGAGGCCTCACCTGGAGTACTGTGTCCAGTGCTGGGCTCCCCAGTACAAGAGAGACAGGGCACTCCTGGAGAGAGTCCAGCGGAGGGCTACCAAGATGATTAGAGGGCTGGAGCACCTCTCCTAGGAAGAAAGACTGCAAGAGCTGGGCCTGTTCAGCCTGGAGAAGAGAAGATTGAGAGGCAATCTGATCACTGTGTACAAGTATCTGAAGGGGGAGTGTCAAGAGGAGGAGGCCAGCCTCTTCTCCGTGGTGCCCAGCAACAGGACAAGAGGCAATGGGCACAAACTGAACCACAGGAAGTTCATTCTGAACCTGAGGAAAAACTTCTTGACTGTGAGGGTGACTGAGCATTGGACCAGGTTGCCCGGAGAGGTAGTGGAGTCTCCTTTGCTGGAGATATTCAACACCCGTCTGGATGTGATCCTGGGCAATATGCTCTAGAGGTCCCTGCTTGAGCAGGGAGGTTGGACTGGATGATCTCCAGAGGTCCCTTCCAACCTAAACGATTCTGTGATTCTGTGAAATTTGATTACGAGGGAAACAATTTTCATTTAGCCCTTTTCTACAAATGAAAGTGGTACTTCCTGAGGAAGATCTGGAAAGCTGTCTTGTCTAATGAAATGACAGTGGAAAAAACAGTTTTGGTAAGATACAGCTTTGTCGGTTAATCAGTTATGGTTTTCCCTCCCTCCCTTCCACATTAAAGCTATGCTTGTCAGTGTTCTGGGCCAGTTAATAAATGAAGATCTGGCTTGATTTTCTTACACTGCCTAGTGTTTTTTACTATTCCAAGGAGTTTTTGCCAGTTATATAGAACATTCTACATAGCTACATTGGGTCTTATACGGTATAAATTGCTAATATTACTAAATTGCAATAAGATTTTGGAGAAAATGTGTAATACTTTATTAATTTTTACCACTCTGTTTCCTTATACAGAATAGAGACTCTTATCCTTCTTTATTAAATAAAGTTTCCTTTTTTTCTGACTATACATCATCCTTCTCAATGTATTAGCTCCAACTCCTAACAGTAAAGGTTTTTGGATCAGAAAACAAAATGCTTGCTTTTGAAAGTGTTAAGAAAAAAACATTTAGAAATGTTCAAGAAGTTTTTTTGAAAGTGGCCTTTTCCCACAGAATATTTTGGTTTAGATGAATCAACATTTCCAACGAAAACATGTTTCACCAAAAAAAAAAATTCCAACTAGCCATCTGTATTCACTGCTGCCAATTATAAGGTCTTAAAAAGTCATTTATCAAACCTCAGAACATCTTTAGAGATTTAGTACATCTGGGATTCATTTCATTTGCTTTCTGGTGTATATGGGTCAGATTGTTAAGCTTTTCTCCTTTATCACAAGGATGATAAACTTTTGAAAAAACGCAAAAGCAAATCCTGAGATTCTTACCCTAAGAAATATAATATTGCAAGTCTTGTGATAACAAGTGCATAACTTACTGTTAATGAAACATACCCAGTGGATGAATCTGTGACTAAATTACTAAGTTCCTAATTTCCTAGCAATCAGTCAAAGCAGCAGGCAATGGTAGACTGAAGTCTGTTCTAACAAGTTGTGAATTGTACTGGTTGGTAGCTAGCCTTGCTGTATGCCTGTACGCAGTCGTGAACGCATATTTTTACTGAAAGTCATGATATCAGAAAGGTCTGGAGCCTATCTATCTGCAGTGCTGTTAAGAGTCCCCAGCTCCCTGTTGAGTTTCCGCTCACCTACAGAGCTCCCTTTTCTCCACTCTGAGAGGCCGATCGCCTCCTTCCGCCGCAGCCTGGGCAGCAGTCGGGGCCATGCGCAAAGAAGGCAGTTTTGCAATGGGTCCTCTTGGGGCTGGAGGAAGGGCCAGAGGGAGCCACGCGTATTAGCATCTCATATACTGATCTGAGATCAACAAAACTGCCCTCTGTGCTCCTGCAGCATCGCTCTGCGCTCAGCCCGGGGCCAAGGCAGAGAGGAGCAGGGCTCCTGGGACCGCCAGCGGCACGGGAGACACCCCGGGGTCAGAGCCAGGATGGGGCAAAATCAATGGAGGAGCACAGCGGGGTCAGGGGCTGAAAGATAGAATTAATATAAAAAAAAAATTGTTTGGTGGGCAGAATTCATTATAAGCAGAAATGAAAACGTGAGGGTTGAGGGAAGAAAGGGAATGCCTCAAGTGATTTGAATCACCTCTATTAATATCACTAATACTTATATTAATGATAACTAAGAATAATATTGCAAATATTGGCAGAGTTACTCATCTGTTTGAGATGAAAATGGAGAAAAAAAATGCACTCTAGGGAAGTTTAAATTTGAAAAACAAACCAAAATACTAAATGTAATCCAAATACCTCATGCTCTGGGGACGTGTCATGGTTCTGGGGGGCTTACGTGCTTTGTTTTGTTGCATTTTATTTGACCTGTGGTTTTTATCTTTGGAGATATGCAGCACAGTAACTCTGCTAGTGTTCTGCGTCAGAGATCTAGTTAGAGTAATAAATTATTTGATTTAGCTCTCGACTGTGACTAATGTTCTATGATCGCTTTTGAGATGTCTATCCTGTAAGCAACTGATGAGGATATAGGCATAGCCAAATATATTTGCCATCAGTAAAAACCCTGACTACACTCACCTAAAAGGAGAAATAAAAAGGAGCAGATTCAATACGCAACCTCTCAATTTCTCTCTCCTATCTGTGATATGGCCTATTGATATATCATACTTGTCATGGAAGAATATTGTCATTACTATCAGGATTATTTTGAGAATGATAGAACTATGGAAACAAATAAACTCTTCTCTCTGCATTTTAAAAAGATTTTTAAGTAATTGGAGCTGTTGAGAGTTTTGTTTGGTAAGAAATATACGCTTATTGCAAGGTCTTGAGGACTGTATAGTTGCAAAAGGCAATAGCATTTTGTCCCTGAATCCTGAATTAACAGAAAACAGAGTTTACCAGATAACAACTGTTCTGTAAGTTAGTAGCATATTCTGCCCTGTAAGACAGTGGTGTAATTGAAATCACTTGAATATATGTGAAACCCCTGGAATATATCGAATATATGTCCGGCCCTACTCTTTAAGTCTGCACAAGCAGAACTTTCTGAGCTGCTTGCGTTCTGCTCAGCTCCCTCGAGGTTACGGGTGCCCCGTCCTGCCGGCTCATGTGGGTGGTGCTGAGCTTACAGAACATAAGGTTCAGTAATGGTTTCTCTGAAGAAAACTGCCATTTTAAGATGCAGCCAGATAACAGAATTCTGGCTCACAAAACACTTTGCCAGCTGAGTGAAAAGGATGCCAGGTGGTTTAATATAAGAAAATTAATGATATTTTTCTAATTCTGTTATTAATTCTAGACATATCAGACATATCAGCAGAGCTCTGGGCTTCGTTTTGGTAAGTACTGTCCAAACACATGCTGAGAGGGCTCCTGCTCCAAAGATCCTCAATCAAAATAGGGAGAGAAGGAAAACTTCTCTCAATAAAAGAATTGTTGAAATCAGTATTTGAACCAAGAACAAAACTCACCACACTTTTGTGTACAGACGACGGCATGGGTTACCTGCTCTGTAATATAGACTCTACCACAAGAAGTCCTTAGCTTTGTAACAGCGTTAATAATTGTCAGTAGTTGGTTTATTTTAACAAAACGATCTTCTTTTTTTGCATGAGATTTTTGAAGAACTGCATATTTTGCTTTTCAGTTGGATATAGAATTGCAGTTTCTCAAAGGAAAATATGAAAAGGCTATTATGATAAGAATAATTGGACAGTCTGTTCTGTAATACATGCAGTATGGGTTACAACTTAAATTTGCTTTGTACCTTCATTAAAATACACTTCTAAGTTTGATCTAAAATTACAAAACACAGATATTTGGCATTTGGACTTTCATTGAAACCGTGATGTTAGATCTAAAACAAGTCTCTAAAACTGTTATTAAAGGAATGTAGTCTTTCAGCCGAATACTTTAAAGAAGGTCCTGAATACACCCATATAAGATCTGTCTTTTTAAAAAGTGCAATAATGAGATCATTCGACTTTGTAATCAGAAACCCTAAAATGAAATTGGAATTGTTCATGGGGGAAAAAACTCAGCAAGTCCAAAAGGGGATAAATTAGGCCCTAAATAAATACCTTGAACTAATCTTTTCTGAACAGAACAGACTTTGAAAGAATTAGCCTGAAGTAATAGAAGCCATATGGCACAAAAACTCCTTGTCGCAGGCAAAACTGAAGCATAATGTGCTGTGTACAGTCAAACACTGCTCAGTGAAAATACATCTACTTTTTTGTGATCAGTTCATCCTGCAGAAACTCAGATTCACAGCTCTGGAAACTACTCTAGACACTGAGCACAACAGGGTTGTGCATCCTTCCTGTTAAAGCTGTTGCACTCTGCATAAAAAGATACAGAACAACTGGTAGATGAAAGAAAAAGGCAGACAGCGTATGAAGATGACTTGCTCGCCCAATGGGTACATTTTTCAGCTGACAGAGACATAGGCAGGTCTCCAGTCCATTTCCCATTGAGTAAGTGTATAGTTTATATGAACAGTGGCTGAATAAAACACATAAGCAGAGCTTGGAGCAAGGACCTGCACTGGATCTTTATACCGAGACTGGCCTAGGACCAGCTTGTCTATGGACTCCAGCAGGGTTCAAGTGCCTGATAGCTAAGTGCTTCTTGATTTAGGAATGCATTTGGGTATGCTTACAAGGGTGCCTTAGACATACGGCATTTTTAATGTGAAAGTTGTGCACCAAAAGATTTTAGGTGCTGTCATGATTCAGTGGCAGGGGAATGTGAGTCTGAAGACATTTTGTGTGCCTCAGATGTTCAGATGCCTCAATCTTGAAGATGAATTTTCAGTCTAAAAAGGAGAGGGTTCCTATTTAAATGCTTAATTAGATGCTATCAAATTGTAGAACTTTATTTTACCGTAGCATTACTCTATTCCACCTGATGGAAACTTAACGGGAACTCAAAATGAACAACCTTTTTGTTTCTATTTTCATTATTTACAATCTCTGCTACAAACTCTATGATGCTGTACCTTCCTCAGACAGCACCGAGCACTAATATGCTTTCATGTGGCACTTTAACATTCTGAAACATTTAAATCCACTTAACCTGCTTTAAAATGTTGGAAGTATCATATTAATCACAATACATTTTGCTGACTGTGCCAAAGCTCTAAGGGTGGAATAAGACTGAACTTATTCTTTTGTGGCTTTTTAACCACAATAGTGAGCAATTTCACTGTATGCTGCCAGAAGAACTATGATGTTTCAAGAGCCTGTGACTCAGCTGCTTCATTGTTGCTATAGTTTTAGACTTTGAAAGTGCTAATTTTGACTTTGTGGCTCTATGGCAAAACTTTGCACAATATTTCACCACCCACAAACATGGGCACATTTCCCTTGTGACATCCATGGCATTGAGTTCTCTTGCAACTTTCACTTTATGCCTGAACGGGAACTGAGCTCCTTTGGTAATCAGACCTAGTTTTAAATAACAAGTTCTTGAAAACGTGGGTTTCAAAGTGTTTGACTGTCTGGCTGGCATATCTGTGTCTCTCTCTAAGTTAATTCTCTAACATGATATCAGCCAAGCACTAAAGAGCAGTAGGGTCCTTGATAGGAAAGCGACAAAGCTCCTAGCAAATTATTCTCTGTGAAAGACCCTTTCTTCTGGAATTAGAAGAAATGGATTTTCTTTGCAATATATGACTTACAGGACATGCTGACCAGCACTTTTGGGGCAAGAACAGCTTAAAGATCAGGTGGGAGAGAATGAGTTATTTTCCTCCTCTTTTGTTTTTCTATTTTGTTTAGATTCTAGTTAGAACTGCTTACACTTCTATTGCATTGGACTTTTGTTGAAAGCTAACTGTCGTACATTTAATACTCCATTAAAAGCTAAATGCTCTACTGATATGTGTCCTTTTTAATAACTGTTGCTGAGGTACAACCTGGGTTCCCAAGAAAACTCATCCGTCAGATATGCTATGGTAGCTGGTGGCTCCTGAGGAGCCAGAGCTTCCATAAATCCTCATGCTGAACACCTCAAAGCTAAGGGCAACAACATTTCCAGCTGCTTACAACACAGATGAGTCTGACAGCCCTAGCTGGATTAGGAACACGCTGGTGCCCTAGGCTGATCTCATCTATTACTCTGCTCTTTATCACATACATTTTAGAAACAATTTAATTTGTCCATTTTCTTCAAAAAAGTCTTTCCTTTGATTGCCCTTTGTTCTTCTGCCATTTTCACCACCAGTTGGATATGAGTGTCTTCTACCAGCATATAAGAAATATAAACAATAACTGCCACAGATGCCAAGTTCTGTTTACCTCTTCCTGTCAAGAGAACTGAATATATTGCAGAACACTATGTCTTAGAAGGGCTTCTAATATACCGTTGCGTGCTTATGCTGGAGAAGGCAGATTAAAGAACTGTGCCTTGTGCTTAGGTATAGGGCTCGGGAGCTGTGACGGTCTGGAGTTCAGGGGAAATTCCACCACCCGCCCTCAGGACGACTCTGTCTCCCACACCGGGGTGCTTGGTAAAAAAGGCTGCTTTTATGCCTGAGAAGCAGCATGGTCAGTTACTGCCTTTTTTCAAAAGCTATAAGAAAAAAATAAAGGGTGTATTCTTGTTTTTTCTTCTTTATTATCTATTGTCACGGGATCCAGAAGAAAAGCGCTTGGCATCACAAAACTGTTGGGGGCTGGGTGGGATAACACTGTTCACAAATGGAAGTGCCTGCCCAGAAACTCAATCAAAGAGTTGCTGGATGGTATGATGCAATCTTGAGAGGGTATAAAAAATGTACAATCTGTCCCCAAATAATCATTCAAGAGAGAAAAACTGGTTCTGGTATTTGGCATGCTGCAACTATGTCAAATTCCAGCTGTGAAGATAGGATCTTCATTACTACAGATGATGCCGTCTCTGATTTGCAAATAATAACTTTGTTAACTTTGCCGAAAGACTGAAAAAAACCTTTTGACTAGGTGACTAAGATAAAGAAATAAAAATAATAAACAGGCACTGAAACCATTCAGAGTGCAAATAAATGGATGAGCACAAGGTATAAACTGAGTATGATTAATTCATGTAAAACTAGGCATACACAGAATGAACGATGAGGATAAAACTTCTACACGATCAACAAAACGCTCCACGTTATCCTAGCAACCTTAAGTAACTTTCTGAGAGTATTGTACCATCTGGGCAGGTCTGGCATCTGTTATACTGGATGTTGTATTCATATGCAAATCATATGCATATACAGTGTTTCTCAGCCTTTCTCTTTTGCATCTACAGACTATTTTGTGCAAGGTTCCTACCCTGCTTTTCTTTTACAAACAAATACTTTCTAGGCAAAACTTTGAATGTTTGTTTATTCTTTATTTAATCCATTTTGTTTCATTGATCACTTGTATTTGTAAATATTTTGGACCTTTGAATTAAATCTTTGCCACGTTTTGGCAAACAGCCTTTAATGTTCTGCAGGCCAGAACTTAGCATGAAGAATGCTTTCTAAAGTATTTTCCTTCATAACTTATTTCTGTCCTCTGTAGCACAGAAGAAGATGACCTATAGAAAGGAAAATATCAAATGTAGAGAAAAACAACTGTTACAGGGCTTATACCTTGGGTTTTGTCAGTGGTCAAGACCACGGATGTTACTCCAGTCTGATACTAGATTAATACTAAAACTAACAAAACAATTTTGGCTTTTCTTTGCTTTTTTTTAACTCCTCGTTCCTAACTCAAATTCTAGAGAAACGGTATTTCATCAAAGATGTCCTCCTTTCTCCTTTTGCCTCCAAGCTCTCTGGTTTTCATATCCTCTTCAGACTCTTTTTATTCCCACTAAAATGACCTGCTAATGATGATCAAAACATGATTCTGAGTTACTATATTCAGGCTTTTTTGCCTTTAAAAATTACACTTTTCAGATTAACTGTGATTTAGGTAAGGTCTATAGTTAAAAAGAGATCCAGTCATTATAATGCATAACATTGCAATATCTATCTTTTAGATATCTAGTCACAGAAGTGAACCCCACTTGTCTGTGTTTGCCTTTTAGTCTCCGTAAACTACACAGAAAAGGAATAAGATGCTTTTACGAAGGGATCCAAAAGAAACAGAACAGTGGGTGAGTAGCCACCCAGTAAAGTCTTTAAAAAAAAGAGTGTTTATTAAGTTTCGTCTTTCCTGGGACAGAGGCACTTTACTCACATCTTCATGGAGGCATTTCTTTCATGTAAGAATTTGCAGCCTAAGCCCCTCTCTAATGTCGTGTCCTGTGACCAGCTTTCCTGGAGTAAGGAAGAGAGTCATCTCTCCCAGAAGTGGCAGATGATGATGTTCTTCTGATCCAG